ACACACGTTGTTATAGAACGTGGTCCTCTGGGCAAAACAGCCACCATTTTCATTGGATCAGCTGTGCCTATTTGCAAGAGACTCAGGATCTGGCCTGTTGAGTGCTACCTTCCCTCAGAGAAGGAGGGGTGGGGAGGGTCACTGGACCCTTACCTAAGCCCACTCTTCCCAGTCATTTGTGTGTAATCCTGCCCTACTGCATAAGACAATGGAGTCTCTGGAGAAGCTAGAGTATGCAGACTGAGGTAGGTAGCTGAAGGGGCTCCATCTATATGGCTACGAGGGATCCACCATCCAGGCTGGGTGCAAACTTTCCAATGTGGCTGCTTTGAGGTCACCCATGGTCCTGTCAGTGACCCTCACCCATGCTCTATAAATAAGCCCAGTAAACTCACTGGTTTCCCAGGGTGGACTTTGGTGGAATCAAACTTTGGCTTGTTACTGAGACCTGATGAGAAGAGGGTAGATGTTGTTTACATCGTCCCAGGGAGGGAATTCTTACAACACACACGTAACCACACACACATGAAAATGCATATATGCTTTAAAAAAGAATCCTAAAACATGTCCATGCAACATGAACATGAACATGGGAAGGTTCAAAGCAGTTTTATCTGTTATGGACAATAAGAATACCCCATGCTCATCTGCAGGTGGATTTATTATTATTATTATTATTATTATTATTATTATTCCATGTGATGGAATATTATTCAGCAACAAAAAGGAAGCATTACCACATGCTCCAGCACAGATGGATTCTGAAAAGACAGTATTACTATGAGCCAGACGCAAAGCAGCACATGCTGCATGAGTCCAGGTTTACTAAAACCCAGAATAAGCAAATCCACACAGCGAGACAGGAAATTAGTGGTTGTCGGGTACTGCGGGTGGGGAAGGAGGTTGGGGAGAGACGGCAAGATTTGAAGGAGTTTCCTTTTAGAACAATGAAAAATGGGGGTGATGGATACACAAGTCTGTCGGTGTACCAAAAGCGTCTGGATTGCAGGTGTCCGGTGGGTAAGCTGTGAGGAATGGAGGCTAGTCTCAAGAAAGCTGCCTTTATGTGTGTGTGTGTGTGTGTGTATGTGTGTGTGTGTGTGTGTGTGTGTGTATGTGTGTGTAGAGCATGCATATATATATATATGCTTTAATACTCATTTTAACCCCAAAGCAAGAAGCATATCCTGGAGTTCATGGGCTACGGTGTTGGTTGTGTGTTGGTTATGTTCATCCTCCTCCCTCTTCACTCCCTCCCTGTCCTTCTCCCCTTTCCTCCTCCTTTTCCTCCTCCTCTTCCTCATCCCGTAAGGTCTCACTTTGTATCCCAGGCTGGCCTCAGAACTCTTGGCAATCCTTCTGCCTCAGCCTTCCAGTGCTGGGATCACAGCTGGGATCTACCATGCCTGCAGGTTGTGTGCTTTTCCAACATCTACTGAAATACATGACCGCCAACAGTTCAGACAGTCTCCCTCAGGCCACGTCTAGCACACTTTGTGGGGCTTCACACTTTGTGGGGCCCTAAGGCTGCCCCCACCAGTTACCCACTCTAGACCCTTCCACTCACACCCACCCAGATCCCAGAGGGAAAACCCTGTGCCTGCTTTTATGTTGAGAATGTGCGAGCTCATGGAATAATGTCCTTTGACAATTCTGTGCTGTTGAGACAGGGTCTCATTATGCAGCCCAGGCTAGCTTTGTATTTAAGATCCTCCTGCCCCAGCCTCCAGACTGTGGGGATCATAGGCATGGGCCACCATGCCCAGTTTTTTATTGTTTTTTGTCTTTTTGAGACAGGGTTTCCTAGCAGCCCCAGCTGGCCTGGAACTCACTATGTGGACCAGGCTGGCCTCAAATTCACAGAGATCCGCCTGTCTCTGCCTCCCAAGTGCTGGGATTGAAGGTGTGTGCCACCACGCCTGGCTCATCACACCCAGCTTTAAAGGGAACTGTTAAGTTTTTTTCTTTTCTTTTCTTTTTTTCTTTTGTGTGTGTGTGTGTGTGTGTGTGTGTGTGTGTGTGTGCGCACGCACAGATGTATGTGCACCCAAATGTGTGTATTATGTGCTTGTGTGAGCCAGAGGTCATTCCTCAGAGGTCACCCATCTTGTTCTTTTAAACAAAGTCTCTCACTGAGACCTGAAGTTTGGTGATTTGGCAAGGCTTGCTGGCCAGCAAGTCCCAGGAATCCCCGTCTCCACCTTCCCTTGCGCTGGGATTATAAGCACACTCCACCATGCCTGGCTCTTTTACATGGGTTCTGGGGATCCAACTTAGGTCCTCGTGCTTGCATGATACACATTTTACCAACTGAGCTGTCTCCCCTGCCCTAATGACAGGTTTTAATTTCTTAAGGCCATGGTCAAGAACCACAATGACTGTATCAAACCACAGCCGCAGAGGGCAACAGCAGCACCAGGTCATGGGCCCTGCCCAATGTCATCACAGTAAACGGCTGCTGGCAAGGGGACTGGAGGCAATGGGTCTTGGGCCTGAGTTGGTCAAAGTCTTGGGTGCCCAGAAAGGCCTAGACAAGATTCAGGGAAGAGCAGCCAAAAGTCCAAGCCAGGAGGACAAAATGTGAAGTTTGCAGCAAGTTGTGCCACCAGCTGGCACAAGGTTCCCACTTGGAACCCCCACCCCCACCCGACTTGATCCAGTCCACACACCTGGTTCTCCACTATGCTAGTCACAGGCCCCTGCTGTATTCTGAGGCCTCAGATAAGCTGGAGAGGCAGGATCTTACCCACTGGACTTCCCAAGCTTCCAAACTTAGTCCCTTATGTGACCACCCAGGGACATGGCGGTGCAGCTGAGAGTGCTCTGCATCCACACTATTAAACACTTCAGGTCCCTTGTTTGTATGTGGCTGTGAACAGCCCTTCTTCAGGCTCTGTGGCAGGGATGAAACAAAATGCAGCCCTGACTGGAGAGCCCTGCTCCCGTCTGAGAGCCCAGGGAACACAGGCTACTGAAGGGTTTGACATGGTTGTGACTGAGGCTGTACATGGCCAGACCTTGTTGTCTCTCCAGTTACTCACACAGGGACAGGCTGAGGACCAGAACCCAGAACCACCCCCATATATCCATTGACACCTGAGTCCCCAAGACTTGCTGTCCCAAAACTTTGGGCCACAGGGAGCTCTCTGGACAGCCTTGGACACACCTGTAAACTACCAGGCTTAAAGATACCTGTCCAACAAGAGATCCAAACTTGCCTCCCGGAGCCTGCACCCTTGGAGCCTGGCTGAAAAGTGGCTGTACTAACTGTTGAATCCACTTACTGTCCCTAGATCCTGGCCAGCAGCTGCCTGTCCAGGTCCATTTGTCACCTGGCCTGGCCTTGGCATTTATGCAGGCAGCTCCTCAGAGCACTGTCCTCATGAGAACCAAAGGCCTTAAAATAGCCTCCTTGGGGGCTAAGGATGTGACTCAGTTGGTAGAACACTTGCCTAGTATGATAATGTTCCATCTCCAGCACTGCACAAATAGGGTGTGATGATGCATACCTGTAATCCCAGCACTGGGGATTTAGAGGCAGGAGGATCAAAAGTTCAAGGTCATCTTCCACTACACCACAAGTTTGGGGTCCTGTCTCTCCAAGAGAGGCAAGGGGGAGAGGAGGAGGAGGAGATCTCTTTGAAGACTCATGTGGAGGTGAATGTATGTGATGCCAGCACTCTGACAGGATGTGACCTCAGTCACGTGGCCTCACGGTGCCCCTGGCCACCTGGCCCCAGCTGCGATGAGCCTGCACCGTGCCCAGTGGCACAGGCTTCACAGTCTACTGGCTGAAGCTCTATGAAAGGGTTTTCTCTCATGGGTATGGGCAGTGCTCAGCTCTGGGCTGCTGTATATGAGGCAGGTGGACTCTCTTGGCGAGCCAGGGAGGCCCCCTTTCCCATTGAGTCCACCCTGTTCTGCCTGGCCAAATAGGAGGACCAGGAATAGCGAAGTGCCTTCCCTGCAAATTTGAGGATTAAACAGGAAATCCGGATTTCTAGCTTATTTTATAAATTAAAAAGCAGGCTGGATAGTTGAGACCTGGTCAGCCAACTCACAGCTGGGCTGTCCCTGGGGACCCATACCCTGAAGCCTGCCACACTCCCTGCCCAGCCCTGCAGCCTCCTTGGCCTCTGCAACTGCAAACCACAGCAGCCCTCCTGCTGGCCCAAACTAACAGAAGATGCAGTCTTGGGCTACTCAGGGTGCCAAGCCTGTGGTGAAGAGCTGGGTGCCACAAGCATCTCCTGCCCAGTAGGTAGCCCAATGCCACATGGTATGCCCACGTAGACACTGGTGATGAGACTTCTACCTCTTCTGTGACATGTGGGGGGAGGCACCACCACATTTTCTGATGGAAGTTTTGTGTGTGCACACGTGTGTGTGTGTGTGTGTGTGTGTACACCTATGTGTGTGTGAAGCCAGAGGTCAATATCTGGCGTCTTCCTCAGTCATTCTCCACCTTATCTTTGAGAAAGGGTCTCTCACTGACTGGCTAGCCAGCAAACCCCAGGATTCCTCCTGTCTCTGCCTGCCTAGGATTGGGATTACCAGTGTGTACCACCACATTTGGCTTTTTGTGTGGGAGCTAGAGATTGAACTCAGGTCCTCAGGCCTGTGTGCAAGTACTTTACTGACTAAGCCATTTCCCCAGCTCTCTATGATGAAGTTTTATGGCACACAGGCTCCCCGAGGCTCCCTCACTGTGTCCCATTGCCATGGCACCTGGGCAGTAGGCTGAGCGAGAAACAGAAGCCATACTACCTGCAGAGCTCTGGACTGTCACACTGATCCCTTCTGGAGCCCCCCAGCCCCTGAGTGTGCTGGACAATACAGTCTCCTCTCCACAGTGGTTCTTGGATGTTCATATTTCCAGTCCCCTTGTTAAATGCAAACACTCACCCCAAGTCCCCAACAGAGATATTGCCTTCCCCACCTGGCCTCACACCCGCACACTTTGGCCCAGCCTTGTGCCCACCCCAATGCCAGGCACTTACTTCATAGGTTTGAACAGTGCTTGTCCATAATTCTGGAAGGTCATGATGAGCTTCAGCTGTGTGCCCCCCGACTTCATGGCTGTAGGAGGGAGGGAAGGAGAAACAAGGTCACTCACAGCTTCAGGCCCTGACTCTGCCCAGGCAGCAGGGCAAGATCAAGGCTCTAGCTACCAGCCAGCCAGGTCCTCCTCATGCGAGTGAGGCTCCCACTGTGCCTGGGAAATTGGGGTTGTGGCAATGATGCACCCCAGCTGGCTGGGGCCTCTCCTGATGTAGCAGTTAGGGTTGAGTCAATGCCTACCGGGTAAACAAAGAGCCCAGCTGGAGGGGATGGGCAGTGCCTCTGACTGCCAGGCCAGGAGTGCAGCCACATGCATGCACACCTACACATGAACACCCACATACCCCACGAACACCAACATACCCCACAAACACACCTACAAAACCCCAAACACATCTATATACTCTCCACACCCAACAAGCACACCTATACACCCCCACATAAACATCTACACCCCCACAAACACACCTATATAATACACCCCTGCACCTATACCCACAAACACACACCTTCACATACCCACAAACAGCCCCATAACTACACAGCCCTACACAAATACTTATACACCTACAAACACATCTATATACCTCCACAAACACACCGATCCACACTCCCACACCTATACCCACAAACCACTTATATCCCCACAAACATACTTACACATACCTACAAACGTCCCCCCCCCACATAAACATACTTATATCCCCATATTTACAAATATCCCCATACCCACAAACATAACTACAGACGCCCAAACATACCTACACATACCTGCAAACATCCACACCTCCACACATCCAAACACATCTTCATCCCCCACCTCCAAACACCTCACATCACACTGCCCCCACACCCTTACACCCCCACCCCCACCCCACTGCATGCCTCATCCCAGACAGCTACTGAATTTCAAAATGCCTGAGCAGTCAGTGAGGAAGCCTTCAGATTGAAGTCCCTATGTCATCAGGACACACCAGGATAGGAAAGCTTCCAGAAGTTTACAAAAGACCCATGGGTCTGGTGCCTCACAGGTTTGGAAAGTTGAGAGTTCCCAAAGCACCCTTCTTTCCCCAGCCTTGGACTGTCCTTTGCTGAGGAAGGAGATTCATGGGGACGTTCTTGTCCTAGGTCAGTCATTGGGAGGGTCCCCAGGTTGTCTGAGGCACGGGAACCATGAAGGGGCCATCACATTGCACAGTTTGGCCAAGGCCATACACATGGAAGCTTTTCTGCTGTGTACAGAGACCTCCTGTGTCTATGGCAGGCTCTAGTCACTTGATAATGGCATAGATGTAACTTAACCAGGCATCTAGACAGAGCGTGCACTGAACGGGTGGGCAGATGGTACGTTAGGAGCAGCAAGAGAACTTCAGGGTCCTTGGTGCAGGGGGCAAAGGAGGCATGTTTGGGGCTGGGGTCAGCATTAGGAGCCACTCCATGGGAGGGAGGCACAGGGCTGGTGGCAGCAGAGCTGACACAGGTCCAGGAGAGATGAGCCGGCACCTTGCAGCCTGAGAGAGGCTGCTTGTCACAGTGGGAAGAGGGCCACAGGCCAGCAAGACCAGCTAGGTGCCCTGGTGGCAACCCTGGTGGCTCTGGGCTGAGGGTAGAAGCTGGAGCTAGGTGTAGGCAGGGTGGGGCAGCAGTGAAGGTGGGCTGTATGAGGGTAGGAATAGTGAGACGGAAAAGCATAGCAACCACTGGGGAGAGGTTGTGAGTGGATGAATGGAGGGCCTAGGAGGGCTCTGCATCACAGGTGGAGCTGGGGATAACCAGGATGCCCAGGAGCCTGGGGTAACACCAAGGGAACCCACAGTGTGAGGTTCTGAGGACTTTCCCACAGGAGAGAAAATCCTGCCACAGAGGTCACAGGCCAAGCTGCAGAACAAGAACCACACTAGCTGATATTCTGGGACCAGAAGTAGGAGCAAATGCTGGCCAGGGGGCTGGGAAGGAGCTGGCTGACATCAGGGCAGCCAGACCATCTGCACACAGGAACCATGGGAGGGGATGTCTGGAGGGGCAGGTGAAGGTTGGCAGTGGTCTCTGGGACTCTCCAGAATACCCCCAAAGAGGCTGAAGATGATGGGAGGTGAGGGCCAGAGAACATGCTTTCCCCATCTGGTTCCTAGACAGAACAGAACTGGCAGGAGACTGTGGCTGGTGTGCCAGGGCCAAGGGAGGCTCATACCTTTAATCCCAGCAGTTGGGAGGCAGAGGCAGGTGGCTCTCTATGAGTCAGAGGCCAGCCTGGTCTACATAGCAAGCTTCAGGCCAACTGGGGCTACAGGGAGACCCTATCTCATAAAATGTTTGGTAGAAGAAAGACCATGGTATCTGGCACTGATCTTCATACTGATGCTAGGCACTCTGGGGGGAATCTTCCCTTTTCCAGCCTCAGTTTCCCATTCTGTAAAATGGGGCTGACGATGTCTGCTTAGCCTTTTTGTATAGATATTTCCTCCATATTAAAATATTTCTTGCTGGTCTGAGGCTCATTAAGATTTAGGAAGTAAATGAAACTCACAAGGCTCAGGAAGTTCCTGACTCTTCTAAGACTTTCAAGGCCCCTCCTCCTGGGTTATACAGGCACTAACTGCTGGGGAGAGGAGACTCCCACTGACCAAGCCTCCTGCAAATCCTGTGGAGAGCTCCAGAACTGCAGCTTTTGTGAGTCGCTCAGGCTGGTCTGGGCTTTCCCATGATGTGTCTTTAGGTAACCCTAATTACACTCCCTGGTTCACTAAGCTAGATTTGGGTCTAGTTAATGGCCTATCTAGGTTGAGTAGGTATTTGTCCTACCCAGGATAGTCACATGGAACTCCTTCACAAAGCTTTCAGGAGGGTCAGGCTCAACGAAAGGCAGTGGCCTGCGCTGACCTGTGCAGCAGGGATGCACCCCGCCCTCCCCGCCGCCCCTGGTTGGGATTGGTGGGTACCTTGCTGTATCTAGATATCACCTGCCTGGCTGCTTGCTGTGTGTAATGGTTGGGTCCTGATCAGGACCTAGATTGATTTGGGCCGCCCAGACCAGTGGGTGGCTGGTCCTGAGGCCACCACCCATCTCACCTTTCTCCAAACTCAGGAGGCAGCCATGGTGCTGGGGGCTAGAAGGTAGATGACCTCACTGGATGTTATGAATATCCAACCTGTTCCAAGGAATTCTGAGTGACACCAAGTTCTAACGGTCTGATTATTAAGCAAGCAGATTATGGACATCATGCTCCAGGAACCTTGTTTAGACATGGGCTTGGGTTGTTCAGCCCTGATGCACAGACCGGCAGCGAGCCCGTACCTCTCCCTTGAGAAGAGACCAGCAGGGAACTTAAATTTTCTGCTTTTCCTTATTTGTGCTTTCTAAATTGGCACAATGAACATTTGCTACGTGTTTGGTAAAGTGAAAAAGAAGGAAGTGATTAAAAAGTTTGTGGCCCCATTAAGGCTCAGTGGATGCCCCATTTCCATTTAATAATAGGGACTGCTGGGTTTAAGGGTTCCTTCCTTGGCCGGGCTTTTTCTAAGGTTTATAATCCTTTTCAAACAGCAAAATGTTATGCGAATCTGAGCAGTTCAGTCTGCCTTTCTCTCTGTGTCTCTCCCCCTCCCTCTCTTCTTTCTTCTCTCTCCTCTCGGACCCTCAACCCCCATCTCTCCCACACCTGTCTTTCTTCCTCTCTTTCCTCCCCTTCTTCCCTTCCTCCTTCCTCTTTCTTCTCTCCTCTCACTTCTTTGTCCCTCCCTCTACTCTCCTACCCCCCTCTCTTTCTCTCTCTCCTCCCCCTCTTCCTGGCCTTGGACAGTCTCCTATAGCCCAAGCTGGCCTCATACTTGCTACTGTCGAGGATGACCTTGAACTCCTGACCCTCTTACCTTCTCCTTCTCAGCACTAAGATTACAGGTGTGACCACCATACCTAGTTTGTGCGATGCTGAGGACGGAACCCAGGGCTTCCCGCATGCTAGGCAAGCACTCCACTGATGGAGCCACACTCCTAGCATAGTCCATCTGCTTCCTTGTTCTGACTCAGTGTATGGCTGGCTCCCCCAATTCAGAAACCAGAACCTAAGGGCATAGAGCTTCGTCGAGGTGTCAGGCTCTAGGGCTGTAAACCTCTGTCCTGTCCCAACTCACCGTCAGCCCTGTAGGTGACACAGTATATTCTGCTCAAAGCTCAGACCCCACATCTCCCAACACAGACTGCTTTGAGTTACGGCAAAGGCTCAAGGGGGCAGCAGACTCAGATACCCATCAGCCTGTGTACCAGGCTGTCCCCATTGCACACTGAGGAAATGGGCCAGAAATGGGTGGTCAGGGTAGAAGCCAACGGGTGGCAGGGCCAGGACACTTTGTGGGTTTTCCTATGGGAGAGCGACAGAAAGTCATTTACAGGACAGCTCCCTTCATTACTGGCCTGAGAGGTGGATCTATGAAAAACTGAGGCCCAGGCTCCAGGTATGACAGCCACTGGGCACTTTCTGTCAGGGCCTCCTGTGTTTCCCAGTGGACAGAGACCAGCCAAACTGGCCAACCTTGGTATTTGGAGGGTGCATAAGAGGGCAAGATCCCACAGAAGCCCAGGGGCCAGGTAAAGACAGTTGTGATGGCAGGCACTTGGCAGCCCCTCTGTGAAGTGTTACATCCCAAATGAGTTTCAGGCAACATGTCTACTGAGTCTCTCCACCCCTGCCTTTCCTCCACCTCCATCTGTGGCTACCACTGCTATCATCCAGTGGTCACAAACACCAGACCCCCATGGCCTCTGACCTCAGCAGTCACACATGCTTCCAGCACAGGAAAAGCAGCTGCTGCCTTGAGCCTAGATGCTTCCCTCAGGTCAAGCTCACTATCCACAGAACCAACCCAACCCAATGGCTCTTCAGCCTTCCTGATGTCCCCAAAGAGCCATGTCCCTAGACATGCATTGATATATGCTGTTAATTAATACTGATGGTATTTCTAAGAAAATTACTACCGTGTGTGCTAACGCCACTCATCTCTTTCTCTAGGGCATGGCCCAG